TCAGTTCCAGAAAAGACATTTAAAGGATTTGTGAGAGTTGCCTATATCTTTTTTTTTTTTTTTTAGTTTATTGGTACATTTTAGATATACAGTACAGTTACATTCATTATTGGGATCTCGTACATTTACATGGCAGGTCTTGGTTCTCATTTTTTCCCCTTATCCATGCCCTCCCTTCACCCCCTCCTCCCTTCACCCCCTCCTCCCCTCACCATTTACAAACACTTTATTTCCATTTTTTCATTTTCTCATATTTTTTTCTTTTCCCTTATTACCTTTCCCCTACCCTTCCCACTTTCCCTACACCTTTAGCTCTTCCTATTTCACATTGTCAATTACCTCCTTAGGATCTTATGTACTATTATACTTTTTCACACCAGAGAAACTATTTGGTATTTAAACGTGTGACTTTTTTGACTTAGGAGTATATCCTCAATATGTATCCATTTTCCTATGAATGAAGCTATTTTCTCATTCTTTATGGCTGAGTAATATTCCATTTTATAGAAAAACTACATCTTCTTTATCCAGTTTCCAACTGATGGGCAAATGGGCTGTTTCCAAGTTTCACCTATTACAAACTGTGCTGCTATAAACATAGGAGCACATATATCACTGTGATACGATTCTTTTAATTCTTTTGGAAAGATACCCAGCAGAGGGATGGCTGGGTCCAATGGAACCTCTAATGCTATTTCTTTGAGGTATCTCCATATTGACTTCCAGAGTGGTTGCACCAGTCTGCACTCCCACCAACAATGGAGAAGGGTTCCTTTCTCCCTTCAACCCTGCCAACAGAGGGTTGCCTATATCTGACATCCTTCTGTGGAGCAGTCCCACCATTGTTCGTCCCTTCCTGGCCCTCAAACAGGAGGGGTTCCAGTGTGAGAATCAACCCAGCACACCCTCAGGAAGATATTATCCAGGTGTCAGCCCTTAGCCTCACTCAGTTTCCTCTGTAAGCAGATGAGCCCCTTGGAAAGTACAGAGGTCTCATAGCATGCCCATGGTCTGTGTCACCTATGAGTGGAAGCCTTGGTTCTCAGACCCATTCTCCCCTTCTCTCATACTCATCTCCACTTCCAGCAGCTACTGCTGAGCTAAAACAAGGATGCTCTGGGCCCAGTATGATATTCTAATTTACCTTCCTTTTCTACTCCTTCCCTTCTCATCTGTGTGCACCAGAAGTAAGCTCTCCCAATACCTTTGTCCCAATCTAGTGCAAAATGTAAGGCTTTAGTATGGATTATAAAATGAATTATCTAATCTGTTGATTTAGTACAGTATTGCAATAACATAAACATAGAAACCATCGTGTGATTCCTGCACAACATGAAGATTATATAGTTTTCCCAAATGTTTCATCTGTTTCTGGTTGATTCAGTGAGTTTGGAACCAATAGAAACAGAGGTTTGACTAAAGAGACAACAAGCTAGTACTTGCGAATAGTTCCTGCAGTGACCACATTCTTCTGGGACTGTGTTTAGAACACGTAAGACCTAACACTAACTCCAAGTAAATGATATCAGAATTGAATTGAGTTACAACACGCCTAGTTGTGTACAGTGAAAACTTGCTTGGTATATTTAGGGAAACAAACACACACAAAAGTTGCTGTCAGTGTTCTAAAGTGAGTAGAGAGAGATTTGTGAGAGTAATAGAAACGATTTGCCTTTTCTCAAGTCCTCCAGATTATAATGGTATTTTCAGAAGACACAAGCTTTTGAATCAGTGTTCCTCACCAAACAGGTGATTACCAATCTACTGATGGCCTAATTAGAGCAAAGAGCAGAGGAAGGAAGGATTGTCTTCTATTCTCATGTATATTATTAATAATAATTGCACATATTAATGTACATCTGGATTTCACTGTGAACTTTTCATGAATACACAATCATGCTTCATGTGATAATTAATGGTGATATCAAATTGAATAAGAAACACTTAGCTGATTGGCTTAGCACAGTTCTGGGAGTATCTAGATGATTGGCTTACTGAAGGTGAAAATCCCACCTGCATCTGGGTGGCACCAGACCTTAGGCTTGTAGCTTAAATGGAGTAAAGAGGGAAAGAAGAAGGAGGTATCATTTGTACTCCTTTGTAAGAGCTCCAGTCTTTGCCATCACCTTTGGACATGCATCTCCAGGCTTCCAGGACAGATTCTTTAGTCTTCTAGAGCAGACCATTGGACTTCCTGATATGAGCACACGCAACACTTTCCAGTGAGCTTCTTTGACTTTTGAATGGATCCTCCAACTCTCCTACTTTGTGAATATATATACATATATATGTATATACACACACACACACACACATATATACACAAATATATTTCTTGTATATACATATTTCTTCTAGTGAACACTAACAGATACATTTTTATTGCTTCTATGCTCCCTTCTACCTTTCTTTGCCCTTCAGTTTCATCCCTTACCCTATTGACCACATTTGCTTCCTTAATAATCCTTCTACTTTCACGTCATTTTTCTTTCAAGTTTCTACACATATTACAAAACACATGACACTTGTTGATTCCTGCACAACATGAAGATTATATAGTTTTCCCAAATGTTTCATCTGTTTCTGGTTGATTCTACACATATTACAAAACACAACTTTCTGGATCTGACTTGTTTTGCTTAACCTGATGTTCCCCCATTCCATGCATTTTTCTGAAAATTATCTGATTCTATTTTTCTTTATGGCCAAGTAATACTCCATTGTGTACCTGTACCATATTTTCATCATCTATTGATGCTCAACTAGGCTAATTCCACAGCTTGGATCTTAGTCTTAATGCTGCAATATACGTGGGTGTGCAGGTATCTCTTTTGTATACTAACTTTACTTCCTTCAAATAAATATGCAGGATGTGAAATCACAGACTCATATATTAGTCTTATTTTTAGTTTTTTATGGAACCCATATGGATATACTAATTTGTATTCCCCCATAAATATTTAAGGATACTATTTTCTACCCATCTATGCTAACTATTGTTATTCTTTGCTTTTCTTGGTTTTAATAGCAGACATTCTGGTCACTTACTGCTTGAGCTTGAGCATCCATCACATGCTACATTAGTTATTGTGGTGGTTTTCAGGCATTTGAACTTCACCTGAGGCCTAGAGCACTGATTCTGTTGGTTCCCTGGGCTCCAGGCTTGGAATGAAACCAAGTACGGGAGGCCTCCCTGCTTGCAAAAAACAAGTTATGGGCCTTCTCAGCCTCCATAACTGGAGTAGATAATTCACTGAATTTTTGCCCCTGCCAACCATGAAGAGTATTAACAAATGAATAAAATAAAAGGAAAAAATTTATTTATTCACAAATTGGCCAAATTGATAGGGCAGCAGGTAGACACACTCAAAAACTTCAACTAATAGAGGGGATAGAACAAAAGCTGGGAAATATGCTTATACTGATTATAGTGAGCCCGCTAACAGGCCCAGAGGTTCGTTGGCCCAAAGAGTTTGGTACTCTTGAAATTTTCCTGGCACCAGAACTGGTGAGGGTGACAGTTTTTACTTTCAGCATGAAGAAGCTGGAGGAATAGCTTAATTTTTTAAATCCTATTTTAAAGCTCTCATTCAATATTTCTGTTTCAAAATGACCACCTAGAGAGATAGCTATCAGTAGCATAAAAGAAAAGTCAAAAGAAAATCCTAATTTTTAAAGCTCAATTTCAACTTCCTGTAATCTGTGGGGGCTTCTGATTTGCTGGCAGGTTTTACTTCTGTGGTATTTCAGGGTGAGGAGACTCATCTGATTTTTTAGGGATGCCATCCCTTATAGTCTCTTCATCTCCTGCATTAAGCTGGTGAGAGGGTAATAGCACTATGAAAGGACATTTTTTAGAAGTGCTGGGCTTATCAATAACAAGTTTGTTTCTTCTTAAATTATACTGGCAATGGTTCAGACAAATGTCCACATCTAGATACAAGAAAATGCATGTTGGCTAGAGAACCATTTCTCAGCAACAATTCTATTCCTTGGAAGAAGGAATGAAATAGAACAAGAGTCCTCATGGACCACGAGATAGACATTCTCAAGTCATAGCCCATGACCTCTTACTCACTCCAGATGGAAACATATCTTTTTCTCTGTTCTTCCTTGCTAACAATTGATGGAATATGCCCAAACCCATTCCTTACTTTATTTCAAGACCCAGATGCACTATAACTGCAGGGTAGGAGGAGGTCCAGATGTCACCAAGAGTGAGAATTGCCAGTAATCCACATCCTATATGAAGGAAATTGCCTAAACATGAAGCCCTACTCACGACCCAGTGGAAAGTTACCTATCTTTGGCCCACCTTGAGAGGTCATAAATGAGTCCTTTTGTTGTTAATAGACTAGTCTTACTGTCTGCTTCAAAGTGGTGTCTCTTTTAGCTCCTCAAGATATACATAAGTAGAATTCCTTTTCTTATTTTCTCTCACTTTCAAACTCTGCCTAATAAATCTATGTCTCTTACTGACATTTCTAGAAATTCTTTTTCTGTCACAAATGTCAACAAATCTATTTTGTGGGGGTTGGAGGGCAATTTGGGATACCCATATCCACTTTCTTCTCTGGAGATGTCCTTGTTTTCTCTTAGACTAGAGAATTTGTGGCGGAGGTTTGGGAAAGAGGTCCAAGAGCTGGCAAATGATCCCCAAAGTGGAGCAGGCACTCATCAAGGAGCCCTAGCAGAATACCTGGTCCCAAATCCCTTGCAATGACAAGATATGTCCTGCCTGAAGAGACCCTGCAGGCTCCAGTTTTCACTTAGCTACAGTTCTTCACAGCTCAACGGGCAGTCCCAAATCATGGGCAGAAGATGGGCCTCCCAGCTCCTGACAGCATAATAAGTGATTTGAAGGAAAAACTAGTAAATCCTGCTTGCTGTCACGGAATGCTCTGTATTAATTGGAATTATGACCAGAACACAAACTGTGCTTGACATTCTAGAATACCAGAGGTGTAGGAAAGGCAGAGTGGCTAGATGGCATAGTGACCGTGCATTCCACGGTCAGGTTGCTGGAGTTTGAATCTTGCCTCTATTACTTTCTTCAACTTGTTTTATCTCTGAAATTGTGTAACACAAGTGATACAAGATTTAAGACTTAAGCGTACTAATGTAAGTTGTTACAGCTTTACCTGGCACTACAGAAAGAACTTAATGAAAGCTGTGTGTTATTATTTCAAATGTTTGATGAAGTATTTACCTCATCTAGCTCTCTATCTGGCTACCTCATCATCTTATAGGAATTGTTATTCTTGTCAGTCTGGGCATGACTGCTGTCCAGCTCCAGGAACAGTCCTTACTCCTAATTTATCGGTTAAGGTAACAAATGTAGGGCAAACTAGGGCCTTCTCATTACATCTTGAACCTTCGTTACAGCTGAACTTTCTCTATGTCACACTGGCATTCCCAACAGTTGTGGCGTTTGAGCAATGAAAAAAAAAAAAAAAGGAAATTAAATAAGGATTGAAAGGTGAATTGAATGAGTTTCTGAAGTTGGATAGAGAGGCAGTCTATAAAACAGGAGTATAGTAGAACAACATCTCTTAGAGAGCTTCGCCTAGAGGTGAAGAGACATTAAAGTGTGAACTGGCCCCCGCGCTCTTCTCACCTCCTCCCTGGGCCTTGCAACCTCAAAGGTCCTTTACTTTCTTGAACAAGCGAAAGTATTTTCAGCCTCACAACTTCTACCTGTGAGGTTCCCCTTGTCTATTATATCCCATCTCACCCCCCCACACACGCTTACCGAGACCTCTGTGGTATTGTCTTTACACATTTTCAGTTCATGTCTGACTTTCCCAGCAGTGCCACTACCATTACAACCCCTCTTATAGCATCATGACTTTGACTTTAGTACTTCAGTATTTTATATAAACATTAAATTGCATTAACAATCTCCCTGGGTGCCTTGGCATGGTGCTTGATCTAAAGTGTGGTATTGACCTTACATGCTCTATACCTTTAATAAATATTCCTTGAAAACCACATAAATAATATATTAATATTTATATAGAAAATATCTGTATTCGTGTATATGCATGTTTATGCACATGTAGAATAGCACTACACTAAATAATTCTCTATTTAAAATCCAGCACTTTATGTAATAAGTACTAACAATTGTTCTGTTTATTTTTTCAAATTTTGTTTTAATACCTGCTTAGAAAAAAAAAGTCTTACATGGCCTAATAAAAATATGTGGCCACAAGAGTAAATTGAAATTCAACACTTTTCTATTTCGTGTAAGGGGAGGTTGTCACAAACATTGTCTCTAACCAACTTTACTCAAAGCTATCGTTTATTGTCTTTTTTCCAGTGAAATATGAACATTAATGTGAAGGATATAAATCATGAACCATCTTAACTCAGTGAGCTTTACAGCATTCAAAATCCACTTTTTTCTCCATAAATATTTTTATCATTTCTAAGAAGAATATGAAATTTGTGAAGGAGCGCTGGGTTGCCCAGAAAGGCTTTTTAGAAGTACGACACAATCAAATGAAAATGACCTTAAATAGCAATTTTGTTTATTTTGTCTCCTTGGTTTAATTGTTAGTTTTGAGGTGGAACACCTGATCACTTCTATCTCCGTTTGTTTTAGCTGATGTATGATCTATACTTTTATTCAAAGTGCAGTGTAAAATACAACCCTCTTTCAGATTGGTTGTAGGTGTATTTGTTTTATTTTCTTGAGCCTAAAATACAGAAATGTACAACACAGAAGACTTCATGTTACAAGGTGTGTTGACTTTATATTCAGCCTCAGAACACTTCTGACTCCCGTATTACGGGTGCACATGTGGGTGTGCTCCGATGCTCACCCATTCCTTGCTTCATCCATTTTCATAAATGCAAACATTTTTGTTTTGCTTAGACATTATACAAACCGTAATCAAGACCTGAGATTATTTTTAACATTTACTAACTTTTTAAAATGCACACAATTTACCTAAAATATAATTAGAAGTACAAGGGAATTATTTAATTTGTGACTTATCTCAATAAATGTTACCTTCTCCTCCTGGCCTATTCCCAATTTCCCTTTTCATTCTCACTTATTGGAAGAAGTTAGCGACCTAACCTTCTGGCTATTGTTTTTAAAGCACTAATGTAGAGCTGAAATATTTCAGAACATAGATTGACTTCTTGATATTTGAGAAGAATGTGATCTGGTTTACCTTATGTCTTGGGAAACTAAGTGTGGAGGGCCTTATATTCTTAGGCAATTAGGAAGTAGTTTCTGACAATTAAATCGTATGTTTATGATTTCCCAGAAATATTTTTTGGGAGTAATGAGACATTTCAAGATCACAAAAGATGCATTGATTTTAACGTAGAATGAGCTGGAAGTTTCCATAGTGATTTTCCTTCTCTTTGATGGAGTGTCTTGCAATTATAATGTAACCCACAGCAGGAATTTAATATTTTTGACAGAATGATTTTATTTTTTATTAATACATATTTACAGTGCATAATGTTTACATTTTTGTGTGGAGTTAGTACATGTACATAATAAATTTTAATTCCTTTTTCATCCCCTTTTCCTCCCCTTCCTCCCTCCCATCCCTCCATCACTTGACTCTCTTCATATTTGAGAAAGATCTATCTTCTTACTTTGTATTATCTTTCACTTTGCTCATTATTTATAATTTGAATTTCTCATATGAGATATCACATTATATTTAAGCTTGTGAAATTTGATTTATTTCCTTAACATTATAATCTCAAGGTGCACCTATTTTCCTACCAGTGACTCCAGTTTATCCTTTATGGTACAGTGGTACTCCATTATCTGTATCACTTTTTCTTTATGCCTTCATCTGTTGATGGACATATAGTCTGCTTCTAAGACTTAGCTATTATGAATTTTGCTATTATAAACATGAGTATGCATATATCACTGTACTCTGATATCTTTAACAGTTTTGAGAAAATATCTAGAAGGGAACAGCTGGGTCAAATGGAATTTCAGTATTTTTTTTTTTTTTACAAATATCTGTACTGATTTTCATGGTGGAAATTTTCCAAGGTGATTTCCATGGTCGTTTACACACCCATCAACAAGGTAGAAGGTTCATTTTTCCCTGAAGCCTTACCAGCATTTGTTATTGTTTGATTTCTTGATGATAGCTATTTTTTTGGAATAAGATGAAATCTCAGTGTTGTATATTTTACACTTTAAGGACCAGAGATGTTGAGCATTTCTTCATGTATTTGTTGGCCATTTGTATTTCTTCTTCTGTAAAGTGTCTATTACTTTAACTTGCCTGTTTTTTATTGGTCTTTTATTGTGAGAGGTCTGATTTTGTAAAATTCTTTATATATTCTAAATATTAGTGCTCTGTCTGAGGTATAGCTGACAAAATTTTTCCTGTCCTGTAGGCTTTCTTTTCACTCTGTTGACTGTTTCTTTTGCTGTGGGGAAGCTTTAACATTTTATATGATCCCAATTATTGATTCTTTGTACTACTTCCTGTGCAGCAGGGTTCTAATCAGAAAGTTCTTACCTATGTCTAGGACTTCAAGAGTTTTACTCATTTTATCAGATAGAATCACAATAATAAAAATGGCCATTATTCCAAAATTGATATACAGATTTAATGCAATTCTAATCAAAATATAAACAGCATTCTTCATAGAGCTGGAGAAAACAACCCTAAAAATCCTATGAAATTAGAAAAACCCTGAATAGCAAAAGCAGTCCTGGGTAACAAGAGCAAAGCCAGAGGCATCGCAATCCCAGACTTGAAGTTATATTGCAAAGCTATAGTGATAAAAATAGCATGATACTGGCACAAAAACATATATGGGGATGGATGGATCAGAATAGACACAGCTCAAAGCATATTTAACTATTTGATTTTCATATACTGGAGGAAAGACAGCCTCTTTAATAAATGGTGTTGGGGGTTGGGGGATGTAGTTCAGTGGATCCTTGCCTGCCTGGCAAGCACAAGGTCCTGAGTTGGATTCCTGGTACCTGCATAAATAAATAAATGAATAAATAAATAATAGATAGATAAATAGATGAATGAATAAAAATAAATAAAAGGTATTGGCAAAGGTGACTGGCCATTCAATGCCAAAGACTAAATCTACACCAGTATTTCTCAACATATACTTAACTAAAATTAAAATGGATCAAAGACAGAAAGACTAATAGAGATGTATTTTTGTAGTGTACAATGTCTGAATTCCTTCCAACGTTCTCATATAACATAATTAGGTAAAAAGATTCAGGAAACAGATTTTATTTTAAAGTTTTGTTTGTTCTGGAGTAGTTATGATTGAACTGGTACAATATATAGTTAGACTTTATGATAGACTTTTTCCTGTAGGTGGTTCATAAATATAATTTCTACTTTTCCTGACATCTTTCTGAAACTTTTCTAATGAGATTATTAGAAGATATTATTTAACAATTAAAATGTTGATTTTATTTTCATGTTAAATTTATTAACTAATTAATTCAACAAGTGACACACTCAGTTATTTCCAAAACTGAGTGACATGTCTTGGAATAGATACATTAATGTTGATTAAATCAAAAGACTATTATAACAAGAAAGCAGATATCTACAAGCTAGATAACTTTATTTATTGGATGCATTGCAATTTACTTAAACTGGCACATGTAAAGGTGCAAGGGTCACTTTATGTTTTGCACCAGAATTTAGAACATATCATTTTTTAGTGCTTGTGATATTATGTAATTGTTGCACATAAACCTTCTGTACAGTAAGAGTCTAGCTTCTATTCTGAAATAGTATTTCCAGTGTGAGCTTACCCTCACTAGCTTATGTTTTAAAACTCAAGATGATGTAACCAGACAGGAAGAAAAGGCCTTAATAAGATTCCGGCCAAGGAGGAGTTGATTTCTGACTCCAAGAAAAGTGAACACTATGTGTCTTCTCAATTGGTCTTCATTAGGTAGGATCTTACAACACTAGATGCTTAATATGTACCTGATATGATGCATAGCATTAGTTTATGAATTGTACTCCAAAGGGTTTAAATGATTTTGTAAACTAGACTAGATAAATAAGAATGTTTATTCCTTGAGTGTGACTTTATACTTCCAGATTACCTTGTTTCAAGACTCATATTTGATTTATAAATTCATTGACATTTGCTGAGATCATCTCTTATTTTTGAGAACTGTTTAAATCACAACATAATTTAAACATTTGCTTTTCTACCTTTCCATGATGTTAAATCTGTAACTTGTTAATTGCCACTGTGTTCATTCAGTTCCCAAAAGTATATAGTTTGCTTTGTAGTGTTTATACTTTAGAATCCAATGCCTAATTAAGTATTTCAACTATAGAGAATGTGTACATGAATAACCATTGCCATTAATTTTTCATTAATAATAAGAAAGCCTAAGAAAAGCTAAATATTAAGCTTAATGGTAAATATATTGCATAATATATACTGTATTTCAGCCAGTATATGTTTTCATTCTATGTTTTAATACATAAGAACTATTGAAGGCATACTCATTAACAGATAATATACTTGCTAGTTCATTGTAATAACATTCATATGCTCTAATACATATTTCATAACATACATAGGCTTAAATGAATACCAACTATAATATTCTCACTTTTTTCTTTTAAAATTCTAAATAAAATGTTTATATAACAAGTATGTAATAAAAGTTTTTTGCCTTATTAACAATTCAAAGTAGCGCCGGGGATTTAGCCCAGTGGTTCCACTGACTGCCTTTCAAGCGCAAGGTCCAGAGTTCGATCACCAGTACCAAAATAAATAAATATATACATACATACACATTTTAAAAATTCAAGTACTCAAAAGAAAAATACTATACATATGGAAAATAAAAATTAAAACCTATTTTTTTGAAATTATCTCTGTTGTCCTTTTTTTTTTTTGAGTTGGCTAAAAAATTCATCTCTCACTACAATGTCAAACTTGGTAGATATATTAGATAATCTTGAGAACCTAACTCCTTTGTTTTCCCACATGGAATTTTAGGATCTTCTCTTAGTTGCTGTTTGTAAAATCTGTTTATATACAATTAAACTGTTTTATAGATGAGAAATTTCCAGTTACTTCCACTCAATTTTTTAAAAATTCATTTGCTTATGGTCAACTCTTCAATTTCGAATATAAAATTATATGTGAATATAATCATATATGCTCATAAATATAAATAAAATGTGCACATATATATATGAATATGCCTAGATTGTAATCTTATGTATTTATACATTTGAAGTGTAAAAATAATATAGCTGAAAGGCAATGTGAAAGTCTTATGCTGTGTATAAGCTGTTTTAAATTGCATTTCAAAAATATAGAAATTTATCTATAATTCCTAAACTATCTGTTCTACATGAACAACTGCCTATGCACTTATTTTCTCTTTGCAAGAATTCATCCTGTAATCTCTGAAACTAGGATCATTGTTTTGATACCCAAATCTAGAAATCATGAGCTGCTGATTTATTGCTCTTTCTGCTCCTGAGTGTGCTTGTGTGTGTGTGTGTGTGTGCTGCATGCTAAGTAATGCTACCAGTTAAGTGATGCCAAAATGTGACACGCCATTTAAGGGTAAAGTTGTGAGCTCAGAAGTGTGTTTGTTTGGGATCTGTTCTGAATCTAATCTTCTTGTTTTTAAATGAAGGTTGGTGAGTATAGGCTGTAGGCAATATCTTAACAGCTAGACACAAGGCTTTTGAATGTATAATTTATTTAAACATATATTTATTTTATTGAATTGTAGACATGCAAATGGATATTCCTCCTCCAGAAACAACTGTGCCAGTTGGACATCCCCTTAACTGTCCACCATCAACAGAACAAGGTAAAATATGTGATGAAAAAAAGTAAAAAGTAATCAGTTAATATTGCCACTTGCAACTGAGAAATAAGCAAAGATGGTTTGAATCAAATGGCCTGTGATATTTCAGAGAACTATGATAATTTGGGGTGTCTTTTAGTGTCTGCTCAAGGAAAAGTCCTAATTTGAGTAAGATATTCTTTGCTATCAGAATTTTCTAGTCTGTGTGGACTGAATTTTCTTGAAGTTACTATGAAACAACTGAACAGCGGAGAAAGGAGAAGGCTGCAATCCAGCCTTCCTCATAAACCCACGAGTTGCGTGGTCTTAGAAAGTGCACAATAGAGACATATACAGAACATATCAGATTGAAATGTTGAATAAGATAATTTTCTTTATTCATGTCATGTCACCATAATATGAAAACAAATGATTTTATACGTGTACTAGAAAACCAAAAGGATAATGTAAGCGTAGTATCTACTGGACCATAACTTTCAGTAAGACAAAGTCATTATAGCCCAGCAACTATACCCAGAGTAACATAAGAGATGTTCATACATATTTATGCATTTGTTGGTGTGGATAATGGAATTACAGGAGAGACATGCATATGAAGAAGTAGGAGGCTGAGAACCAAAATGGTTCATGCGTTAAGAATTATCCAATTCACATTAATTGACAGACAACAAACTTTAATATGTTTAGTATAATTAAGTATCGTGGTTTTCATAGGTGAGAATCAAGTATATTTTAGAAACTTTATATTCTTCAAGCTTATTTGTATGGGTCCAGGATAAGCATGAAATGGTATACACTGAAGTCCTTGCATTATTTTAAATATTTAAAAAAATAATTCCAGAAATGATTATACTTATCTTTCTTATTCCTACAATTACCATCACCTCTAACTTCTTTCATTTATGTCTTGCTTCATAGCCTATATGTATTTTGAAAGCTATCTTTTTTCCTAATACTGCAAAATCAAAGAATGGAACTGTATGTCATAGCTATGTTTGAAAAAATTGAAAGTGAGTCCCAATAACTAAGCTGTCTCATGTTATTTCAGAGATAACTTATTTGGAACAGGATTCTACTGCAAATTTTCTCTGATAATACAAACAAAGTGAAGATAAATTACCTATTTCTTTTTTGGTGATTTGGAGGATCGAACCTGGGGCTTTCACCCTGAGTTACATTCCCAGCCTTCCTTTGTACTTTATTTTGAGACAGGGTCTTGCTATGTAATGAGTTGCAGCCTGTGCTGAAACTTGTGATCTTCTTGCCTTAGCCAAGCAGAGTGCTGGGCTTGCAGGTGTGTGCTACCACACCCATCCTACTTGCCCTGTTTCAATACAGCACATCACACAAATGAAAATTATCTAAGGAAAATTCATTGCTGTTTTTAATATATACTCTTTTTAAACACATTTATTTATTTCTCCTTGAATTTCAGACATGCAAATGGATATTCCTCACCCAGAATCAAATTTGCCAACTCAACCGCCTCCTTACTGTCCCCCACCAGCACCACCAGGTAAAATATGTGAAGAAAGAAGTAAAGCAACAGTAATCAATAGGTACTGATAAGGGGAGGGGAATGGGTCTTTATTCTAGTGTTTCTTTTTCTTAAAATTACACTAAAACTTTTGGTAACTTGTTACTCCTGGTTTTCTTTTGCATTATGTGCATTCCATATAAGCAATTTTTTATTACAGAGGATGATAAAAAGTATAAAGAAGAACTGATAAAGTCAATAGCAAGCTTACACTTAGCAAAGGAAATACAAGTCTGCATATAAATTCAACTCCAAGACACAGATCATAAGTGAAATATTGTACTCATCATTTCATTCACCTATTCTGAAAATTCTGATCATGTAATGACATTTAGGTGATTTGTCCCCAGATGTTTTTGTATTTGGAAAGTGTTCAATGAGAACAGAATAAAAATGATAAAGCTGTTTAAAACTGGAAGTTTAAATCAATAGAAACATGGCTACCTGGAAATAATTTTCATTTTAATTTTATAAGACCCATAAAAGCTTATTTTCATGTATATGATAAATCATACTTTACAATTCTAAGAAAAGTAGTTGAGGTATATCACTATGTAGTAGGGAATGATTTTTTTTAGCCATTGTATAAAATAATTCAAAGGTTTTCATTAAAAAACTGAAGTTATCAACGTATTACTAGACTTTCGTTAATGGCAAGTTTTGGGCATGTCCAGATTTAGTAGAAAAACATCCTGGGGACTTAATATCAAAGGTGATCTGGTTAGGATAAAAGAGTGTACCCACTTGGTTTTCTTCTCCGAGAAAAGAGTTTTATTTTCTTAAAAATCTCCCAACAGTCTATAGATCTCATTCTGATGTTTACAGTTAAAAGAATATGCGCAAAATAAGCAACAAGACTCTAAGATTGTAGTTTTCGTCCAGTGTCACCCAGAAATACTTAAAAGTGCTAGTAAGAAATCACCAACCTAGAAAAATTAAATCAGACCTCTGAACTCAGCGGCTGGTAAGTTTTTAATGCCGAATAGTTCTAATGTGTAGCCATGGTTGAGAACCTCTGCTGTAAACTCTTGTAAGGTTTGTATCCAAAGAGTTACTAACGAGCCTGTGATATTCATCCAAGCCACTTAGAAAATGATTTAACCCATCCCATAGCTAACTAAAACTAGGTACACAAAATTAAATTCAGATCTAATGAGACTTGAGAGTTTTGTAGAAAAATAGAGGTTTTTTGTTTTTGTTTTTGTTTTTTTTCACACGACCAAGGCCACATATATCTGTGTCATACGTCCTGATGTAACAATGATGTTAACAATTTGATAAGTTAAAATTGAGAGCTCACTATGCTATAGGCATTGTTCTAAAGATAAAATTTATGTGAATTGGCCTATTTAAAATGTACACTTTTTAGGAGGTAAATATTTTGTGATCAGTGTATAAGTTTCCTTATAAGCAACCAACCATAGAATTAAAATATTCAAAACCTAAATTTTATCTACATGGGCTAGGAATTCAGCTCAGCGGTGCCACTGCCTCACTTGCAGCACAACGTCCTGAGTTCAATCCCTGGTACCCCCCCAAAAAAATTACCTGCATGGAACATGTGCACACTTTTTACTTGACATTGTTTCCTAAAGAATATACTGTCACAGCTATTTAGCATTTATATTAGGTATTATAAATGTCCTAGAAATGATTCAAAGAATATTGGAGGGTATACATAGATCATATGCAATATTTGAATCTTTTTATACAAAGGTTTGTTCATTCTTAGGTGTTGGTACCACAGAATGTCCTGACCAAACTCCTATAGGTACTGAGGGGCCATTGGACTACTAAATATCACCCATGATTTTCGTAGAAAAACGAGAAGATTTGAATCAGACTTCATGTTCTGCACTCGTCACTTAGCATTCTGTGCGGTTTGAACAAGTTACAGTAGCTCAAAGACTCAGTCCTTGCAGGACCTCAGTCTCTTTAGTAGCTCAGTCTCAGTTACAATTAGGGATAACATGTTTCAACTAACACTGTGTTTGGAGATTAAATGAGACAGTATGGAAGACACTAACTACAGAAGTTTGCAAATAATAAATGACACATGTTTGGTAGGAAATGAATTAATGATATGTCCATTCAGCTTTATAAAAATGAAACTGTTACCCTATTTCAGATAATGCAATATGCTTAATCTATTGATTTGAGAAATAGCAACCATTCTCACCCCACCTCTTAACAGCCCATTCAGCTGAGTTCCTCATTGTTTTAGTTCACTGAACTGGCTAAAGCCCTCACCATCTGATCACATTCTAAAAGGCTGCCTCTGACCACCTGAGATTTTTGAAAGGAAGTTTTGATCCAAGTCATAACACTATTCCTCTCCCTATATTAATAGCTACCTTTAACATATACAGTCATAAAACTTCGATGCCTTCCACGCCCATGTGGCTTAAAGGTTCCCCAAGTGAGAAGATGGTGAGAGATTAACAAACTTAAAGAATAAGACAAAGAAGAAGATAAAAACAACAGCAAAATTTACAGAGTTGGTGGAAACTCTTTGTCCTGATGAGACAAAACTGAAACTGCAGGTGAAGTTATTTACTCAGATGTATCAGAAAACACTGGGGACAAGGACTGCAAGCAACCTAAGTGGAGGTTATCGAAGACCTCTCGCCATTGTGGGCCAGGAGGAGGGACTTTCTTTAAATGGATGAAGTCCTTCAAAGAAGATTGACCTGCGTGCAGCAATATCAGCCATTGCCTAACCGAAACAATTTGAGGATGGTCATGGTTAATGTGCTTGGTTTGCACATGTTGCTATTGATTTAATTCTAATGTTATTTTTTCCTATACGTACGATCAACGTAAAGCCATATCACAATAATGTAGTAATTCTGTAATATTTGTAATGCTTTATTCTAACTACTTTGATTCTAATCAGGATTTCAAGTTGAATGAAAATCAGTGATCTGAAAAAAAAAATAATGAAAGGGGATGCCTGATTGGAACAGGGAGAATGACTAGGGTCTGCAGGAGATAATGCTTGATGTTTCTCTGGTGAATGGACAGGAAGGAAAATCATCCTCTTCTCGGCCAGGCCTTGGGTATGAGTTAGGCCTGGCCATAGTGATCTACAGTGCATTGCTCCCAGCAGACCCCTAACTTCAAAGTATTTTTCTCCAATTCGAATTTAAAAATCACACTGGATATTATGGTTTGTATCTAGACGTCCCCCCAAAGCCTCAGGTGGTCACAGGGCTTTTTCAGATGTGGCTAAATCTAGAGTGTGTGATATTAGGATTTAGGGTATGTGATTGGGTTGGTACCTCCCTAATTCTGGTAATCCCCTTGTAGCTTTTGCTGCTGTTTGGGTTCCATGAACTGTTTCTCCTCTGTGATGCCACTCTGCAGGGTTCCACTCTGCCTTGGAGCCAGCAGACTACAGACTGAAACCTCTGCAAGCTGAGAGCTAAAAAAATCATTGTTTTCCCTTTAACTTTAGATATTGAGTATCTGCCTCAGCAATGAGAAGAGTAACTAAGACAAAATTTAGTACCAGAGAAGTGGGATCATTTCTGTGACCGTACCTGACCATTTGCATGGGAACTTTTGGATCTGGCTGGTGGGAAGGGGAAGAGTTAGGAAAAGCTCAGTGCTGACAGCTGAAAAAAAATACAGCTGGAATGCCTCAGGCTGTTCTATATGAAAGATTCTGGTCAGAGCTTAGAAAACCAGAAAGTTAGTAAACACCAAGCACAGGAGGTTTTCAGTCGGGAGGGATGGCATTGGATGTTGGACTACAGGTGGTGTGTATTATGCTTTGGCAGAAAGTTTGTCTACATTTTTCTCATATCCAGAGACTTTTGCTGAGACTGAGATTAAGGCTGGCAGAATAATTAATCTGCCAGAAGACATATCAGGGCAGTCTAATGTTGAGGCAGTGGCGTGGTGACTGTTGGGTGCTTTTAGTCAGATTTATGTTGAGAATCAAGACCAAAGAGGTCTGCACAATGATTTAAAATGTTTTGAGTTTCACCAGAAAGGAAGCTCCATTAATCTTAGGATCTGTAAAGATAGAGCAGAGAAAACTTGATTTCTGAGAAGGAAGAGGAGAATAGAAAAGATAGTGTGAAAGCATCGAAAGAAGCAACAGGACTCCACCCTTTGCAGTCTCAAAATTGCAAAAGTGAAAGACTTTGAGAAGAGAGACCCAGAGTACTATGTTCTAGAATGGCCAGGAGTTTTTGCTTGGGATTTGGTTAATAGACAAAGGACCCCTACAGCCAAGAGAGAAGGAAGCCAGGGTACTGCTCCAGCTGGCATCAGACTTTGGCATCATCCATGCGGTGCTGTTTTTAGGGACACACTGAAAGCAGGAGTTGTGGGGTCAGGAAGGTAGAAAAAGTCCTGGGAGACCAGGCAGTGTGCCCCTGAGAGGGGAGTGGGAAGCTGAAGGTACAGTGGAGACCTCAGAAATTTGGCGAAGCCAGAAAAGTGGATCATCTGAGGAAAACAAGGAATGAGCAGAGCTGGCTCAAGAAAGAAGTGATGAGAGCTACAATCACTAGCAGTGCCATAGGAGTGGAGCCACCCAAACTCTTCGGATGGAGTTCACAACTTACCATAAGTTATAGGGGCTGCTGAGAAGTTGGACTGGGGAATGTAATGTTTACCCTGCTAGTTTTTGGACTAGCTTTGGTGCTATTCTTTTGTATCTTCATTTGTACATTTTGGAATGGAAATATTTATTTTGTACCATTGAACGTTGACAGTGTTAACTTTCTTTTCATTCATATAAGGGCTTGTAGCTGAGTTTGCCTTTCATCTCAGAGAAACTCTGAATTTGGAATTTTCAGCAATGCTGAAACTGTTAGGACTTTTGCAACTCTTAAGGAAGGACAAAATGCTTTTTACATAAGTGGATGTGCGTGAGCCTTGGGAGTGAGGACTGAAATGTCATGATTTGTATCTAGAAGTCCCCCTGGAGTCTCATGTGGTCATATGGCTTTTTCAGAGTTGGCTGAATCTAAAGTGCTGGGATTAAGGGTGTGTGATTACTAAATCAGTGCACTGATTGGTTTGGCACTGCCCTAATCGCGGTAGTCTGGATAAAATAAAAGGGGAAGAAAATGCTACTAAGGGCCTATGTTACCTTGCTACCTTTGGCCTTCCATAAACTGTTGCCCCTGTACCACATACCACCCTGCCTTGGAGCCAGCCAATGATGGACTGAGGCCTCTACAAACTGTGAGCCCAATTAACCTTTCCCCTTTTAATTTTAGGTTGGTGTCAGGTATTTTATCTCAGCAGCTAGAGATAAGTAACTAAGACATTGATGTAATACCTCCCTAAAATAAAAGTGAATGTAATGTTGCCTCCCTGATATGGCAGTGAGAGCAGGGATTCCTTCTGTTTCATCATTAATCATAATGCTCAACCATAGAGAACGGGAAAGGGAAGTTACCAGAAACTCCTGCAGTGGGTCTTAGTCTCCTACGAGGCAACACAACACAAACTAAGAATATAGACCAAAAACAAGACAGAGAAAACTGGGTCTTGGGATGATCTAAGTTCCTCTGGGCAGCAAAGACAAAAGGCCCCAAGGGTATCCAGTGTGTATTGATTACAAGCGTGGAAAGAAGGTGAGCTGAAGTCATCTAGTGATATATTATGAAACATCTGGTATGGTGCCAAGGAGGCTCTGCTTATCTTGTGGGGAGAGAAAAAGTGGGAACTGGGCCTCGGTCACGATTAACCAGCAACCCATCGGGTCAGTGAGAAGCCATAACCAGGGGAAGGGGTTTTAATTGGGATCTGGCTAACCTCAGATGTACGTTAATTTAGCAGAGCCCTGCCACTTCACAGACCCGGTGTTAGGTCTCTGTGGCAGGTATTAGGGGAGAAGCTATACTCACCCAGTCTGCCGCCTGACATACCCATTGAGTCACACAGGACTTTGGTCTGACTCCTAACAAAAAACAATATAGCCAAATTATGGAGAGCAAAAGCATGTGCCACTTACTGTGCTAGTGCTGGGCAGGGATGTCTGCTACACTCAGTACTTTCAAAGACCTCACAGAATTTACGTAAATGGAACTCATTCTTTGGCTGCTCATCACATTTTGGAATAAAATACAAACTTCCTTTCAATAGTTAGATTATTTCCTGCTGCTTTACTGGAAGCCATTCCTGGTCTTCCTCTCTCTCTTGTGATGTTCCTCACTGTTTCCTAACGTGCAAAATTCCAAAGTCAGGGTTTTTACATTTGCTCTTCCTTCTTCCTGCAACATTTCTTCCCAAGTCTTTACATAAGGCTTCCTCACCATCTTTTCAATCAAGCTAAATTTTTAATTTCTATCTAAAATTACTACTTCCTACCCAGTCATCTCCATGTATTTTCTCCATCCATCACATCAGCATACATTTTTCTTTGTTTTTTGTCTTCCTGAGTTGATTATGAGCTCACTAAGAGATTCCCTCATTGACAGCTATAACTCCTAATTCCACAAAATTAATAGATACACTGAAATAAATTAATGATTATCATTAAAAACATTTATTCATTATAGAAGGAATACCTTTGAAAAGTTATTGAAAATCCATTATTGTACAATTTAGTGTTATTAGCTTTAGTTCTTAATGGTGCATGGATTTTATCAGAAGTATCCCATTTAAAAGTATATGTTGCCTATTTTAAATGTTTTTATTTACTTTCATTAGTACATGTTTTTTGTACATAGAGGTTACATTCTTATTTAAAATTTTGCATGGATTTCAATGTTAAAATATTTGTGGATCACAGTACTTTAAAATATATGTCATTCCTATGGAATTATTACTGTATAAATAAGCTTATAAACTTTACTTGTAATCACACATTCACAGAGAAATATAAAGCACATGCTCATTAAATTTTCTTCTCTATTCTGCTTGTTAGTCATTAAAATTTTTTGATTCTTATAATATTTTTCTTCCTTGTTTCTCAAACTTTGTTTTCCAAAGTACTCAGGTTGCTAAATTTTGAAACTGAAATTTCTAATCTAAATATTTATTGGTTTCTTAATGGCTAAGAGAAATAGGATAGGAATGCAGTATAGGATAAAACCCCAAGCAAGCTGAGTTAAGTGGGATGTGTTTATTCCCAGCAATTTAGGATTTAAATTATTTAATTTGTTCCTATTTCCAGGTCTCCAGGAAACATTGGCTACTTCTGGTCCCAGAATGCCTGTCAAGTTCCCCAGCCTAGTGACTCAGCCCCAGACTGCACATTTAGGTCTCCAGGCTGGCTACGCTGGTCCCCATGCTGGTTACCTTGGCCCTCAGGGTGCTTATCTGGGTCCCCTAGCTGACTACTCAATCCTTGTAGCTAGCTCTTCAGGTACTAGCCAAGCTGGTTTCCTGTCCAAAGCTAGTCAATATATAATTGTCCAAATGTACTTGCAGGAATACACTGGATGCCAATGCTACCACCTTCACTGAACTGCCCACCTGGACTGGAATATTTAAGTCAGGTAATGTCAAATACATAAACACTTATAAATGATACAAGCGTGCTTCCAATTTACTTAACTAGAGTAACAAAGGAGTAAATCATCAATATCTGAAATGGTATAACATCTGCTAAGAGATTGTTCTAATTCTTCTAGGTCATGTTCATTTTTTAAGCACAATACAAATGTAGATATCATTATATTTTTTATTATCTTGATTTCAACTTGTGATTATAGCCAATAGAGAATATTAGTTAAGCAATATTTTCAAGGGTTTTTTTGCCCTGAGTGCAATACTATGTTATTCCTTGTAAACCTTACATAAAATTTCTGATGCTTTCAGGATATAATTATCACCACTTTTCAGAAGAGAAAAATGAGGTCAGGAGAATTTACATATCTCACCCAGGGTCAAAAATCTGAGAAAGTGAGACTGGAATTTTAATCTGGGCTTTGGAACTGAACCCAGTGTTTTCATCCCAAAACTGAAGAGTTTTCTGGGAATTTGAAAGGAACTTATGGATTAGGTTCAAATAGCAGTGCCCAATAAAGAGTTCATATTTTATATATAAATTGATTCACTTCAATAACCAATAAAATGCTATATTTATAATGTTGCTTTTTTCTTTAGAACATTACATTTTATAAATACCAAACATAAGGGGGAGTGAAGATCACTACTTTGCTATACTAAATGATAGTGAATTGTGGCACGCGAGGTTTAACATTTATGTGATAAGAGAAATGAGGTAGGTAAAAATCAGATATAAAGTTGTATGTGCCCAATCTGTAAACATATAAAAAAGTTTTATGATATGTATCTGGTTTTCAATAAAGCAGGTGGTCTTTGGCATACTGTCCTGACTTAACCTTTCACAATGCACTCAAATAGGATAAAATATAACAATTTTAGCCATAATTATATTCTTTGAGGAAAACTCTGAAACACATTTTCAAAATCAGGATCTCATACAATACTTAGAGAAAATTATTACATATTACAACTGAAGTCATCAAGCACATTTAACATTTGGAACTTGTATTTAGAAATTTTCTTCCAGGAGTAAAAAACGTTATGAAAAATGTTGAGCTTCTTCTAGAGAGACTTTGTTTAATGAATTCCAGTGTAAATTAGCTTTATTGATCTAAATTTACTTAAGTTAAGTGAAAACTTTCAATACATATTTTACCTATTAAAATGTTAAATTTAATTTTTCACTAAAGCCTAGTACAACATGAAATATTGATAATGTTAAGTGTTAATAATTGATTATATGCATTTAATTTTCTTTTTCTCTTAACAGATAGATCTGGCTCTGGTTCACCAGAGAATTGAACTTCTGGAAAGTATGTAACCAGTGTATTGATGATGCTTTTAAAAAGAGATTTTTGCAGACAAGCTCACTACCAGTTTTGCTTTTCTCCCCCTCAACAATCATCTTAAATTATTCTGTCACTTTACCTGACTTCTACTTCTTTAGGTTTGGATTTCTACTTTGTGGTCAACTTGGAAATGGCATAGAACCATGTGGACTTTAACTACTAAATTTCCAAAGAGAATGAACTTTTTGAATGGATAGGGTTTTAATGGAAAAGTATTGTTCATGCCCACATTTCCTCCTAGGAGTTCAGATAAGTGCTATAAAATGATCCATGTGCTAAGGACTATCTACCTAGTCAGATCAGAGGCCCTGCAGTACTGGAGGATGGTGGATGAAAGCCTGGAGAGCACTTCTTTTTTCTATAGGAGCCCTACTGGTCCTTTGAGAGGGCCGGATGCAACTAAATAGCGCCTTGTGGCCAATGCACTCCAGGTGCAAGAATAACCTAGGAAGCAACTAGATGATTCAGGACAGCTGCCTGGGAAATAAGATCTACAAAGATTTCTGAACCATAGTGTCTTCCTTTAGATATGAGTGTAATAAAACTCTTCTGCTTTGCAGACTATGACTATTAAAAACCATCTTCATCTGTTTCCGAGTTCCTTTCCACTGATAGAAATTAGAACATCAATTGTACAAGCTGAGAAAGGGATTTTTAATTGTCACTTATTATATTAGAATTTTATAATATAAATTTTTGAGCTCGTACAGTGATGTTGATTTTGTTTACCTTCTCTAAACTAGCATTTCTCTGGAAATGAGGCCATATTTGATAATTTGTATTCTAAATATTTGAATATGATTTATTTTACCATATGTTATTTATGTCATAAAATCAAATGGCAAAGTACCATGCATATAACATATTCCATATCTCTTTAGATTTACATACTTTATAAATGTGAAATATGTGTTCCTTTGTCATCAATTATAAGTAATCTTCAAAGTTATTTAATTCTTAATTTTTAAAAGAGACATCCTAAATTTTCCTGTTTCTTTTTTCCCCAAATTTATAGAATATATTCTTTTTCCATATAAGTAGCATAAAGAAGATGATTTCTAAAGAAGTTCTAGAAGCTAAGCATGCACTTACATTTTTTCTCAATTCAAAGCTTAATAGAACTGAAAGACATAAATATGGAATTTTCTGGTTTTATTTTCACTTGTTATGTACCCAGAATAAAATGTAGAGATTATATTACCCATGTTGTTTTAAAATTGAATGAGGTGAAATTTCTGAGATTGTTTAATGAAACAATCATTTAAGTAATAAATACTTTCAAAATCAGTTTCATTTTTTTTCTTACCAAATATATACTTATGAGATAGAAGGTTTGTCCTTTTAACAGCAGAATTCACATCTGTCTAAATCTAATCAAAGACATTTTAAAAAGTTCATAGTGATAGAACTCCTGCAGTCTTTCTCCGCCAGACTAAAACTTCTAACATATAACATGCATACAGGTTGTGGTTTTGGCCTCTTTTCTTTTAAGCTCTTGTTATTTTGGTGAGTCATCTAATAAATTATAAATCCAGTATCTGAAGGCTACTCATGAATTTAAATATTAATTGCTAGTTTCTGGCTGTAAAAAGTAGGCTTTCTTTTTTTAATTAATTTTATTGGTACACGTAAGATATGCTATATAATGACATTCATCGTTGGAAATTTGCACCTTTACATAATCCATCTTGGTTCTTATTTTTTCCCCATTCCTCTAACCTCCCTTCAACCCCTCCACCCCTCCCTATCTACAAAGACTTTGTTCCCATTTTTTTCTCTTGTATTAATTGAGTTACAACATGTTTCCAGATATCTTCTCCTCTTGGCTAACACCCATCCCCCACTTCCAACTAGAGCTGAGTGCAGCAACGGTGCTCAGGCCTAGCGTGCTGTTCTAATTACCCTTCCATTTTCCCTCCCTTTTCACACGTTTGCATTGAGAATAAACCTTAATACCTTGCTCAAATGTGGTACAAAAAATAAGACCAAAGTATAGTTTCTAAAATGTTTCAAGCCAATTTACTTAATACAAAATACAAGATTTCATAGAATATAAATGTAGCAAAACTTCTGTAATTCCTCCATAATACGTGGATGCTGTACCAAAAGTAGGCATTTTATCTACACACCAGGCGCCATGGAGACCACCTACAGCATTACATCAGTTCTCTTCAGCAAAGTCTTTCTATGTGACCGTCTATCAAATAAGGAGATAAGAATTGTTTTTCATGGTTTACATGAGGGCTCAATTTTTTTCTTATGGGAACAGTTTCTCCTATTTTTTTTTTTTTTGTCTTTGTTCTCAGTCTGAGTTACTTCTAAAGCACCTTTCCTTTTTCTCTTCCTTGTGCTGCTGCAAATATCATCTAAAGCTGGTATAGCTAGATATTATATAATATAGGAGAGATTCGCTATTCTCAACAAAATGATAATTATGAACCCCCCTTTATGTTTTTAGTCTTAATAGGCATTGAAACTAATAACAAATATGAAATTAAGAACAGACTAGGACAGAAAGTTTACTTGGCAGTGGAAGATACTAATATATTAATCCAAAATTTCTGTGGAAAATATAGGCCTTTTACTCTGAGGATTCTTGATAATTTGGGCCGAGAAGTCATAACTATGGAGAGACCACTGAGATGTAACCTCTGCTGTTTCCCATGTTGCCTTCAGGAGGTCAGTGTGCAATTACTAGGAATGTCTGTGAAGTGGTACAGGAAGAATTTTTTACTTTTTCACTGAGGATAAATATTATAATTATTATTACACTTACTTATGTTTCTTTGCTATTGTAAATAGAAATCCAGGCTCCTCCTGGTGTTCCAATAGGTTATGTTATTCAGAAGTGGGACCTCTTCAAGCAGAAGTTTACTGTTCAAAATGAAGAGCGAAAGGATATACTAAAAATTGTTGGCATTTGTGTTACATGGACATTTTGTTCAGATATTGATTTTAAGGTAAGAAATGTCATTATGTTTATAAGATTTGCTTTCCTAATATATGAAGAGTATAATTTTGCATAATGCTATTAATACATTAAATAAGTATTTCCTACTAATATTTCAATGTGCTACCATATTTAACTTTAGCTGGAGTCATAGCCACTATTCAGATTAAAGGTTAGGGTTGGTTATGCTGAATGGAAAAATAAAAATTGATCTATGTAGATAAGTATATTGAAATAAAATATCTAGCACTTAAATATGGTGGTTTCTATATGGTGAAACTCCATATTACCAGTACTGAGAAGGTCAGGCAGGGGTATTACAAGTTGAAGACCAACCTCAACTACATATCAGATCCATCTCAAAAATGTAATTAATGAAAAATTGAAAACAAACAAACCACACCCCCCAAAAAAATAGAGCACTAACTTATTCCTCAAAATCTGATTGCCCAAACTCATGGAGCCTCCCTTTATGCGTGTTCCAACTATAGGTTCTCTAGGTCATATAGAAGCTCTGATACCCTTACTTCCCACAAAAAGCCCAATAAGTCAGAGATAGTTTTAATAAGGTTGTGGTGATTAGGGTGTATTGGTGACTTGATTGGCTTTGGGACTTGCCTTGGGGAATTTAGGGAGCACACTCTGGATGTGTCTTTGAGCCTATATGTGCTCCTTCACCCCTTCTTGTCTGGTGCTGCTTCCCCACTTGCTTCCCAGCTGCCAGGAACTAAGCATCTTTTCTCCATTACACCCTTCCACCATGATGTTCCTGCCTTGGATCTTGTACACCATGTACTGAATTTTCTGAAATTGTTAGCCAAATTAAATGTATCCACCTTTACATTCTGAGTGTTATGGATTGTGTTCCAACAACAAGAATGATAACTAATACTGAAAATGTATACTGAGATTGGAGTCAGCCCCAGAAAGAGTCCGTGTGAGCTTCAATAAGCGTATGGGTAGGTCCACTCAAGGCCTCTGAAACTGACATCTCACCCTCATGTGTCCTGGATGTGGAACAAGGAGTTATAAGACTTAATGTTTGCTATGCTGGGTTTCATTCAGTCTTTCTTCCACCAAACTCTAACCTCCTAATCCTCCCCTTTGGAAAGACAGTGCTTACCATGCCCCATTGTATCTTGGGGTTGTATAACTTGTTTGTGATTTTTAACAGAGATTCACAACTATGCGTTTACCTTGGGTCTCAGAACACACATTGATTTTGAATTCTGAAAAAGGCTGCAACTGCTGAGAGTTTGAGAGACTACTGGATTTCTGGTTATATGGAGAATAATTGTTTTATGTTGGCAAAATTATGAAGTTGCTATTCTTTTTAGTACAGGGATTAAGTATGGTTTAATCATGTGTGTTTGGATATAAGAGTAACAATGAAAAGGGATAGAATATGGTGGTAAGGTTGGAATATTGACTTGATTGATTTTAAGATCTTTCTTCAGGGCATTAGTGGAGCACACTTCTGGGTATCCCTGGGTCAAGGTGGTGTGGTCTTAGAGTCTGTGTCTGGTATCTTGCCCCTTCCTCTCTGGTGCTATTCCCTTTTTGTGCTTCTTGGCTGCCATGAATTAAACATGATGTTCCTCCCTTGCAGCCTATTGACCATGCAGTGTATCTCTTCAAACACTGAGCTAAATTAAATTTAACCTTCCTTAGATCAGAGATGTCCAGTATTATATTCCAGCAATAAGAAAACTGACTAATAAAAGGGTAATACAGAAGTAACTTCTTTCACAATTTTTCTCTAGTTTTGGTTATATATGAAGTACTGACATGGAAAAGGAAAATAAGCAATGAGAATCCAAAAATATTTTATGAAAAATTCCAGAAATAAACAATTTATTAAAATTTAAATTGCATACCACTCTGAGCACTGTGATCGAATCTTTTGCCCCATCCTGCTCCTTCTGCCAGAATATAAGTCATCCCTTTTTCCGACATAATATCACTGTATATGCTACCTGCTCATAAGGTCAGTCCATTAGGTAGTCGTCTGGGTAAAAGCTGGTTATCGGATCAACTGTAGTGGTGTCTTACTGTGGATGTTCCGATAACCCTTATGGAGAAGTCTAATGCTAAGGCACAATCCTTGCAAGTTACTTCCTTATATCTCACCACATTGGTATTGTATCACATCATTTCATCAGACAAATTTTAAGTATTGTACAATAGATATTTTGAGAGAGTATACAGTGTACTTGTTGCAATTTTTCCATTTAATGATTAGTTATTTTTGCTAATCTTTTTCTGTGCCCATTTATATATTAAGCATTGTCATAGGTATGTATGTATAGAAAAAAGCAGAGACCAATACTGTATGCAGTTGCAGGCCCCCACCAGGGATACAAGGATGTGGGGGAACTACCTACTTATGTTACTCTGTCATCTCCGCTGTATCTTTATATTAAATTAGGTTATTGTAATAAATATATCCATTACATAGAATTTGATTATTAAAGTTTCTAATGGATTCCCCAACCTAATAAACACAGTTGTTTCTGTTGTAAATGTTTAAAGAGAGGAAGACTTTATAACTTAATCTTGATCTCTTGTTTCCTTTGGAAAATCATACAATCTGGTAAATTGGAGCTACCTTTCCACAGAGGAGAAAGAAACATCATAAAGCTGAGTAGGGCTAATTCCCTTTATGGAAAGATATAGATATTCTGGCAATCTCTCCACTCCTTCCCAAGGCTTTTCACTGTGCAGCTCCGTGCTGTCACCATCATGTACCTGTCTGTTGTTTGTATGAACTCTTATTATTCCGTTAGCATCTGGTTATATGCAAGTGAATCCTTCTCCTTATAGAGGTAATATACTGAAAGTGGTAGACGGTCTTGAGAAAAACACATGTGATGTAGAGATGTGTGGGTAATAAGTATGTATAAACTCTTTGTATGAGGGTATGTGTAACAATTCTCTATGCAGGGAATGGCACATCTATCATAAATCTAGAAAAGTTAAAAAACTTAGTTGCTTTAAATATTTGAAGGAAACAATACTCCTTTGAGGAAGAATATTACCAAAAATTTAGCTGACATGTTTAATTTTTAGAAAATAAGAGAAAACACTACAGAAGCTTTGTGAAAGGTTTTATATTTGATGTTTAGAAATTAATTTTTTTCTAGCAAGCTTTCTCAATGTATATCTTAGCATCTGTTATGATTTAGATATGAATTGTCTTTGAAACATTATAACAACAGCAACTGATTGGAAGATAATTTTCTAGTAGTTTTTCACTGGGCAGCAAGAGCCACATCAAGAAAATTAGCCACTTTGAAGAATAGTATTCATTCCACCTACTTTAACCTTTACAAGTCATACGGCCAAACCCAATCATGAATGAGAAGAGATATATTGGACCTACAGTAAGATAGGCAATAAAACGAATATTTGATTGATAATAATCCATGTCATTACAAATTCATATTAGAAATATATTTCAGAACTTTTAGGATCTTATCGCTATCCATCCAAATGAAATGAGTCAAGATTTTGTTTCCTGACATTTATTCCGGGGGTCCCAGGTGGAACTGTTGCAAGCATATGTGATACTTTGTGCACATTTGAAAAGGACACACTTCCTCCACATTTAACACAATCCTATGTGTACATAGCTTGGTGACTGTGGGCTACACTCGATCCCTACATGACCACTTGAAGAGTAGCTTGAGTGTGGGTACAGTCTGTTCTGTTCTGTATGATGGCCCCTTTCTCTAGAAAAACTACAAAGTCCAAACTGTTGTGCTTTGGAAGTGTTTTTACACAGCTTTGTTCCTCCTTTTTTATTGAAACACACTAGAGATCCAACCATTGATCAAGAGACATCCTGTCAAGTTGTTTATTAATTACTTTCTTTGCTCAAAACTGACAATACTCTTCTCTAGGCTGTTAGAATTTCCTATTCCCTATTTCCTCCTGGCAGTTGGTAGTAATGATTCCTCCATCATTTTTAAACTTGTAAACTATGTAAACTCTCTATGCTAATCTTAAAATAGATATATAATAAATATTTTATCTTTCTAATAGCTTCTAGAAATTTTATTAAATAAACACTGTAAGCTTTTAGCTTTTGCTTCTTAGATTTTGTTTTGGATCAATTAAAATAATTTATTGTTGTCCGTCCTAGTGTAAAATAGAAAACGTTAACTATTTCAGCAAAACTAATTTTGTGTCAGTTATCTGTACAATGAAACAGTTTTTCACCTAATAAGAGCATGTGTGTGTGTATGTGTGTGTGTGGACTGAAATTATAGGGCCAGGGATATAGCTCAGTGGCATAGGCACCTGTGTGGCAAGTGCAAGGTTCCGAGTTCAATCCCTGGTACCACAAAATAATAATAACAATAATGATAATAAATGAAAATTATAGGTCATATTTACATATGGGTACAATTTTAATAGAATATTTTAAAATTTCATTCCAACATTGAAAGTAGATTTTTCCCCTTGTCCCCACCCTCCCTTCACCCTCCCCTCCCCCCTTCAATCACTTTAATTCCATTTTTACATTTTCTCATAGTTTTTTCCTTTTCCCTTATTCCCCCTTCCCTATCCTTCTCACTGTCCCTACACCTTTGGTCCTTTTCTTCCTATTTGCTAATTGTCCCATTAGGATCTTGAGTACTATTTTAGTTTTTCACACCAGAGAAACTATTCAGTATTTGCATATGTGTGCCTTATTTATTTCACTTAGAAGTATATCCTCAAAACGCACCCATTTAACTATTGATGAATCTACTTTCTCGTTCTTTATGGCTGAGTAGTATTCCATTTTATAGAAAAACCACATCTTCTTTATCCAGTTTCCAATGAAAGTAGATTTGATACACTTTATTCCAGACATCTTTCAGACTTTATTTTTGCAATATAGATTACATCACTTGATGAAAAATCTGTAGTTGGCAAGATTTCTAAGCACTGGGCTGGCTTTATCCGAGAGATATTCACAGATGCTGATAACTTTGGGACCCAGTTTCCTGCAGACCTTGACGTGAAGATGAAAGCTGTGATGCTTGGTGCATGTTTCCTCATCGTAAGTCCACTCTTAATCATCTTGTTTTGTAGATAGTTTCTCTGGTGTCATTTTGAGGAGATTCAATAATGTATTAAAGAATACATGACTCTATGAAATCATTTTGTGTTGCAGAATGATTCCTTTTTGTTTCTTGTTCTGCAATTCCACTTAATACTGATACTCTCGACTCACAGATAACCAGTTTCTGTCTGTAGTCTGCATTTTTACAGGAGGACTTAATCCTTTTATGCAGAATAACTTCTTGTAAAACATTTATTTCCAAACACATAATAGTGTTTTGGGGGGAAATATTGTGAGCTCGAGTGAAAACGAATATCAGTGAAACAGGGACATTTTGTCCTGATTTACTATTAAAACATCGAGTGTGTGGCTACAGTAGCAGCATATATACATCAGGCCTCCAGGTCTAAAGGGTTACAGGGAATACGTAAGTTGAAACAGCGGTTCCACACTTCTAAAAACCCAAGTGCCATAAAAGAGTCAAATCATAATTTCCAGAAAAATGGACGGAATGGGATACCACCAGGTTTAGTGAAATAAGCCAGACGTAGAAAGTCATATGTTTTCTTTAATTTGGAAAATCTGAGAGGAAGAGGAAAGAGAGGGAGGGTGAGAGTGAGAGAAGAGGGACTGAGGGAGGAGAGAGAACAGAAAAGGGAGGGGAAGACGGAAGGGGAGGGGAAGGCAGAGATGAGAGGAGGATAGAAGAGGAGGGAAACGAAGAGGACAAGGGAGGAGAGGGGAACAAAGTAAAAGAACGACTATGAAAGACTATTAGAGGAGAGAAGAAAGGGTGGAGGAAGGGAGGGCGAGCGAGAAGAAAATGATCAAAGAATGTTGCATACAAGTGCTAAAATAGAGCCCACTAGGTTGTGTAACCTACATACTAATAAAAATAAAACCACTAGTATTAGGATATATCCCAGTTCAAAGGAGATAAATCAGAAAATTGTGTAGCACAAGTTGATCCCAGTATGCACACAAAGTTAAGAATTATGGGAAGAGTAATGGTTTTCAACATTAGCTGTCCAGTAGAACTACCTGGGTAACTCTTCACACGTGCGCGCGCACGCACACACACACACACACACACACACACACACAGTCTGTTTTGCATCAGAAACTATTCTATCAAATCACTGCAGGTGGGTCCCAGCCTTAAATTTGTGCAGAAGTCATAGGTGATTACAGTCTGTAACACTGGAGTAATATCTTAAACACTCTTTTATGGACGCAATCAAAATGTAAAAATGCACAAGAAAAAGAGCTCAGTTCTTCACTACATATATTTCAAGGAAAATAGAAGTGCAAAGATAAAATTAAGTGAGAGACTTATGAAATACTAACTCAATGCAGCTTGTAGATAATGTTTGCGTATTAGTTCAAACAACGTTGTTTTAAAATTGATTTATGAAACAGGGTAACTGGGACATTGAGTTACCATTTGATGGTGATAGAGGAATTATTAGGAGGTCCTAGATAAGATGATAAATATGTAAAAATAAGATAAACCATCTGTTTTAGGGACACGTATTGACCTGTTTCTGTATACAGTGACTTGATATCAAGTATCTGCATTTAAACAATGGCAGTGAGGGAAGATAGATGAGTCTAGGGAGTGAAGTAATGGATGAACTAGGATTAGTCTTACTAAAAATCGTTGACTATAGTTGGTGGGAAATGGGGCTAGGAGAGGTGAAGGAATTGTTAAGAAATGGTTTTTGTTAAGAACCTTTAAAAATAGAGGAGAGAAATATATTCTTATGTGCTATTGCACAGTAGAATAACTCTCCATCAAAATAATGTACTGTATGATTTTTAAAAAAACAGAACAAAAAAGCTTGGTTTTCACCACAAAGAAGTGATAAATATTTAAAGCCGTAAATATTTAACCTGAAAGAAAGATGACGCAGTGTATACACATGTATTGAAATACTCCATAAATGCATATAATTTTTGATGTGTTAATTCAAACAAATTGTAAAAGTACTTTTAAAGATCAGGCAGCTTTTGTAGGCACAGTTTTGCTCAATGAAAGATATTTAATTAACTGGTTGGCTTAAAGCTGGGTAAAATAAAATAGGTGTAAATCCAAATTTTAGAAAGATAAATCCTGGTTAGTGTATGGGAAATGGAGTGAAGAAAGGTAAAGTCGTAATAGTACAAAGCAAGTAATTGGCAAAAGTGTTAACTATACTGTTGAAGGGATCAAGAACATAATAAATGGGAGAGAAATAAAATCCATAGGATTTTGTTTAACTCAAAAAAAGAAAGATTCTCATTGTGAAATGGGAAGAAAGGGGCTAAAGGTGTAGGGAAGGTGGGATGGATAGGGGAAGGGTAATAAGGGAAAAGAAAAAAATGTTCGATAAAGAAAAGATGGAAATAAAGTGTTTGTAGATGGGGAGGGGAGGAGGGGGTGAAGGGAGGGCAGGGACTAGGAGAAAAAATGAGAACCAAGACCTGTCATGTAAAGGTACAGGATCCCAATGATGAATGTAACTGTACTGTATACCTAAAATGTACTAATAAACTCAATTAAAGCTGAAAAAAAAAGAAAGATTCTACTTAAATAGTGATGGAGTAAGCCGAGTTGGGGCACAGTAGATAAGTTTATAACAGAATCGATAATCCTGAACCAAAACAGGTTCTGTCTGTACTGTATTCTTTCTTTAGCATGGCTGTCATTATCCTGAAAAAAATGCTTAAACCTGTAAATGGGATTCCAGTCACTAGAGAAGTTATATGATTAGAGAAGAGCCATAAAAAGTTGAGGAAGAAGCTGGGTTTGGTGGCACACACCTGTAATCCCAGCACTCGGGAGGCTGAGGCAAGAGGACCGCTGTGAGTTTGAGACCAGCCTAGGCTACGAAGTGAGGTCCAGGCCAGTTTCAATTACATAGTGAGACCCTGTCTCTAAAAAAAGTTGAGGAAGAAAGAATGAAAGAAAAGATATCAAAAAGTGATATTAAAGCAATTACCAAATTTAATCACATAATTACATTTATGCATGTATCAACAGATAAAATTACAGAATTTATTTTTTTGTTAATAAACTGGAAAGGTGGGAAAAGAGATTTTACAGCTCTAGACTATTCCCAGATTTACATCTTTAATATTTTGTGCAACTGGAATGTTAGTGTGCGTGTGATCTGTTCTCTTAGCCTCTCTATCTGAGAATTCATCTCTGTTGTGTTACCAAAAACTCACTTTTGTATTTTTGTCTTTATCCAGGACTTCATATATTTTGAAAAGAAGGTGAGTATAAGAAATAAAAATAAGAATGTGGTGTTGGATTCATGAGAATAGCCTCAGAAAATTTGAAGTTTGTGCTTTGAGCTACCTAAAAGTAAAACTCAGTGATTTTATTTTCTTTAAGATCACCCATATCTGTGTGAATGGAGAGGTATAATTTTGCTTTCAAATTATAGAGACCATTTTCTGTATCTCGGGCAAATGCATATTTTTACATATTTACTGTGAATTTAGAAAAAGGACATAGCAGATTTTACATTTAGTAAAGAATCTTCCTATAAAAACTAGTTCAAATTAATCTGATTTATTTTTCATTTTAATGACAAAATTAAAGCCTCATTAGAGATAAATAATATAAAAATAAATTTCTTTATTAAATTTAGTTACAATTAATTTCCTACAAAAGGCTTACTGCTATTTTGAAAATACAGTGTTGAAAAGGATATATATAGCCAGTTTTTATTTTCTTTGCCAGCATGATATAGTATTATTCAATGTAGACATTTCTAAGTAAATTTTTTTTCCTCTGGGAAATCACACTACATTTAAGTATATCCATTAACTAATCTGCTACTGTAAATATTGTTGTCATACTGAAAATTGAATGAAAAGCCATTTTTTTTTGAGACAGGGTCTCACTATGTAGTTGAGACTGACTTGGAACTCACGATGTAGCCCAGGCTGGTCTCGAACTCACAGTGATCCTCCTCGGCCTCCCAAGTGCTGGGATTACAGGCATGCATACCATGCCCAGCTGAACAGCCAATTTTAAAAGATTTTTTTCAGTGAACAAAAGAATGATTCCCTGCCAAAGAAATACTAATTTTAAAGTCTCACTTCCTCTAAAAGCTTATTATTGGTATAATATTTGAAGTTATTTTTTACACATGAAGACTTTTGTTCCTGTAGTCTAATAATCCAAGAATATGGTATTGGTGAGATTATTCAGGCGTCATTTAAGTGAAAATAAAATTGTTCACAGACTGTAAACTTCAACATTAGCTAATTATGATTTAATAAAATTGTTTGCACGTTATTTCACATTTGGTTTTCATTTCTGATCACAACGTGGTGATTCAATTAATGTGGTCATCTGATCCCTCATTTAGTTCAATAGGAGTATATTTTACTCCACTTCCCATTTAACATCTCCTTTAACAAGAGCACAGGTATAAGATGCCTTGTAGTAAAACCAGTGCTGCCAACAACGATATTTCTGTATCTAAAATTAAAGACATTCTGTAATCTGTTTTGTAGGGAAGACTGGATTGAGAAAGGAAATGCCCAATCCATAATCTGTCTCATGCTGAGGCAAAAATGGCCTTAGAAAATAAACTCTTGTGGGAGGCTCCCTTTCAACCTCAGCAGAATTCCACCAGCAGCCATTATTCTTACCATAGGTGTGAGGCCCAGCAGCATTTCACAACCCCAGTATGTCCAAGAGGCGGCAGTTAAGGAGAAAACTGGTTGGGCTGGAGAATGGGGGAGAAGCAAAGTCCTTTGACCTCCCAGCAGCTTGCACACTCATCAGGTGCCACATTCCAAAGATGAAACAGAGCAGTGGAACTCACCTCTAGCTTATTCTGGGAAGGAAGTATGCCAAGCAAAGCAGAAGCACTTGCATAACTGGATCATTAGCTGTGCCAGTTAGAAAATGAGAGGCATTCCAAGCTGGCTGACAGGTTGTAGAATCAACACACAATGAGGCTTAGCGGTAATGACCTCTCTGGGATGACTATGTTTTAACTTTCATTTCTTCCCTCTTTGCTCCATGTAGAATTGTGGATGTCTCTTTAAGTGGATTTAAACTACAACTGATCCACACAGTTTCTTTTCTTCAACTCTGCAAAGAAGATTTGTTAGAAACCCACACAGTACAATCAGAGACTAAGTTCAAATACAAGGCAAAGATCTTCTAGCTCAGAATTCGCATTGATAAAACTATCAAACCTAGAAAATTAACTATTAAATGAAAATAAATTCTGATAACTGAAACATGTATGTTAATGTGTAGTCCCAGCAAGAGCGGTGGTTTATAACATGGCTTGAGAGTGTCCCTAACTAAAGGACAAGGGTGGAGAGGAAAGGGTGGAGATAAAGCACCAGGGTGATATTGAATGGAACTATGAACTATGTTTTGATTTTTTGAGAAGAGATATCTGTAAATAAGAGTGAGAAAGCTGGGGATTTAGCTCAGTGGTTCTACTGCCTGCCTCACAATTGCAAAGTCCAAAGTTTGATCTCCAGTACCAAAAAAAAAAAAAAAAAAAGAGGGAGAAAGGGGAGAGAGAAAAATAAGGTACCAAGGAGACCAGTGCTTGTCATTAGCACCTCCTTTATGTAGCTAAGATGTAGGTGTTGAGCTAGTAGAAGTAGAGACAATGCTGAGAGAGAAAAAAATACTAGCACAGGAAGTTAAATAGGCCAGAATATCACTGATTTCTGTCCTCAAGTTACTCAGTTGCTTTACACAGCCCTGATACCGATTTTTGTGTGTGGCCCTCAAAAACAAAGCTACTAGAGTTTTAAAGTAATTAGCAGGAACTCAAGAAATCTTGTCATAACTTAGGTAAAATGTGATCTAAAGTGTGTAGGGACACAGTGTAGTATTCCTGGGGCTGCAGAGAGCCAGGAGAGCACAGAGGTGTCCTCCTCATCCTGCCCCAATGCTGTGCTGGCTCTGTGCACCATGACCTGGTTCGCTGGCTGACTTTCTTAGAACAATGTTCAGATACTTGATCTTTTTTTCTTTCAAGCCCTGTCCCTACCTGTACTTTACTTCATTCATCAGTAATACAGCTGTCAATTATTAATAGTATCAAACTCATTAAGTTAGTGTGAGGACTGTGATCTAATGCATGTCAAGGGTATCTGTCATTTCCTGCCAAGAATCATAGTTGCAAATGAACCAAGTTGTGAGTTGACGATGACTAGTAGTTTCCAAACACAAGGAAATGGCTAAAGGCAAAGCAGAAAATTTTTGCTAAATTAGATTTCTGTACTGCACTACATATAAAACTTCTTTTCAATCCTAACCTGAGCACTGATCCTACCCTTCAGAGAGGGGATGAATTCCAATGAGAAGTCGAATTCAAAGATGATTTTCATTTCACAGAAGGGTGAAACAACATTACAAAACAGTGGCATTGACTCTAAGTTTGCCTCATATCTTCAAAAATGTGACAAGCCAGAGAGAGTGGTGATCAAAAATCAGGAGCATGAAAACACACTAAATAGATAATTCAGGATTTGAACTCAAGGCTCAATTCATAAGCAGAGGTGACCATAGAATGGTTGTACACAGAGAAATTGAACATAGGGCTCTGAATTTAACCTCCTCCACACCTCATATTCAAGGGTGATTTAAATCTACTTTTAGTGGTTATATGGCCAAAAATATTTTGCTTGTGCGAAGTAGTAGCATAAAATCTATCTAGTTTTGCAAAGGTACAATGCTTAAAATCAGCTTGCTTACTAGTAATTATTTGTTTCTGCCTTTACATTCTAGTCTTCCAGCATTAACATACTGAAGTTATTCAATCTGGCAGGGATAGGAAATGAATACTAGTGTCTTTCTGCATTAGAAGTTTCATTTGAGGATTGGTTGCTAGAAAACATTGCAACTTGAATGATTATCAATAGACTGCCATCATCTAGAAATAATGCAGAGGAATTTTTCCTTACCTACTCTATACCTCTGAAATATTCTGAAAATACCTCTGAAAAATTCCTTAGACAGAGTGACTTCTAAAGAAAAAAATTTACTTAGAATTTTGTCAGAAGTCTAAGACCCAGGGCACTGCCAGGTTCAGTATCTGGTGAGACCTGCTCCACTATGAAGATGGAACATTGGTGCTCCATCTACCCATGGTAGAAAGGATAGAAATATACAAGGGGTCCATTTATATCCCTGGGGTACCTTATAAGGAACGAATCACATCCATGAGGGTGGAGACTTCATGTCTTAATAACATTCTAAAGATTCTACCTTCTCATATTTTCGTTTTGAAAATCACTTTTGGTAAACATGTTAGATATACATAATGACCACATTCATACAGGGAATTTGTACCTGTACATGATGTTATCTTGCTTCTTGTTTTCCTATTCCCCTCCCCTCCCTTCAACCCCTCTTCTCCTCCTCATTTACAAAAGCTTTGTTACCATTTCTTCCTTCTATTCTCTTTTTTTCCTTTTCCTTTCCGTCCCTTTCCCCTCCCTCCTGCCTTGTTCCCTTTCCCATTTGAACATCTTCTTCCTACTTCACAATATCTAGCATCCATTTTAGTCCTTATCTACTTTTCTGGTTTCTCACACAAGAAAAACAACACAATGTTTAAACATGTGTGTCCAATTTTTATATTTCTGGTACCACGGATCAGAATCAGGACCTTGCACTTGAGAGGCAGGTGCAGCCTCACTGAGCTAAATCCCCAGCCCCATGTGTGTCCAATTTATTTCACTTAGAAGTATGGTTCCAAGATGTACTGATTTACCTAAAAATGTCTTTCTTTATGGCACAGAAATACTTCATTGTATATAAAAAACACATTTTCTTTATCTTCATTACCTATTGATGGACATTGAGCTGTTTTCAAGATTTCACTTTTACAAATTTTGCTGCTATAAACATGGATATGCATATATATCATTGTGGTATTATACTTTTAACTCTTTCAGAAAGATAATGAAAAGGTGAATAGCTAGGTCTACTGAAACCTGTAGTTTTAGTTTTCTGAGGAATCTCTACACTGATTTCCGTATTGGTTGGACCAATTTACTCTCCCACCGACAGTGGAGAAGGGTTCGTTTATCCCCACAGCCTTGCCAGTTTTATTACTTCTTGATGATAGCCATTCTTTCTGGAGTGGGATGGAATCTCTCTTTTTGGGGGGTACCATAGATCAAATTCATTAGCTTGTGCTTGTTAGCCAGGCACTGCGCCACTGAGCTAAACCCCCAGCCATTTCAGTGTTGTTTTAGTTTGCATTTCTAGAATGGCTGGTGATACTGAGCATTTTTTTAAAATATTAATTTTCTGTCGGCACTTCTTCACCAAGAAGTGTCTATTCACTGCAAATGCCCATTTTTTGGAGTGACTTCCTCATATTTTAATGATGTGTTTCAGGTTTCAACCATAAATGGAAAAGAAGGAATATATACTGAAACCATAGCACGGTTTCAATTCTTGTCTTTCTTACATACAAAATGTGTTCATTCCCTCCACATTGTCCCAAGCATCTTAACTCATTTTGGCATCAATTATGAAATCAAAGTGTGAAGTCTCATCTAATATCAAATATATCAAATATGAGTAAGATTTAAGGTATGATTCATCCTGCAGAAAATTCCCCTCTGTGAAATCAAATTAAATGTTTCTAAAATACAGTCACAGGACAAACTGAGGATAGGCATTCCCATTCTAAAATGGAAGACAAGAAAGAATAAAGGGATAACAATTCCTAAATAAGTGCTAAGGCAACAAGGCAAACATTAAGTCTGGAGGCTGAGAATCATCTTTTATGGCTCCATGTCCTCTCCGTAGGACCCACTGGGACATGGGGCTTCCTCTAAGATTCCAGACAAGCCCCCCTTAGAGATTTATTGAGAGCAGGCCACACTACTGCTCACACTGATTTTTGTCTTATGTCTGTGGTTAATTCACATGCCTTCCTGAACCACAGGTGGGCAGCCAAAGAACTCTGCATCAGAATTGGGGACCAGAGATTTGGGTACTGCCAGGCTGCAAACCCCAGGTTCCCATGATTTCCCTAGCCAGTCCCTTTTCTTTAAGTTCTGCCCTCAAGGACCAGGCACTCTAGGCCTGAGATAAAAGTGGCAGCCAGAGAAGCCTATAAAATAAAACCAAAGTAATTCTTCATTGTCTTACTTGGGGGGCTGTACGGGGGATCAAACTCAGGTCCTTGCCCTTGCAAGGCACGCGGGGGCAGCACTGAGCTAATTCCCCAACCCCTTCATTGTCTTTTTTTTTTTTTTTTTTTTTT